GCTAACTGGAGCCGAAACAAACGCGCTGTTGCTGTCGGGGCCGTTATTGCTCGTTTTAAATACCCGCGTCGGACTCCGATTACAGCGAATGTAACAGCGGGTTAACGCCGGCTACAGCTAACTGGAGCTACGTGGACACTTTACTGCCTGAGCTGGAGCTACATAGATGTAGCTGCTGTCATGGCCACCACTGTTTGGTATTAATGCCTGTGTCGGTCTCCGGCTGCGGCTAATGAACGTATTTAGACCAGTCTCTACACGGTTAACTGCTAATTAGCTGTAGCTAGCATCTATCGGGAACGCGATTGCTTCGTTTTAATGCCCGTGTCGGTCTCCGCACGGTGCAGCGCTAGTTAGCTGTAGCCGGAGCTAGCTGCTGCCGGCCTCAATCCTACTGTTTGTCTAAAATTTAGAGCATCAGGTGTGATTTAGACTCTAAATCACACCTGATGCTAATGCGACACTAGATTGTATCCCCCCATCGTGGCATGGTTACAAAAAAGGCAGTTCAATCCAAGTTCAGTCCGAGAACACGGTAATAGACACATTCGCAAATGCAGTTCACGGGTAGGTCACAAAAGGCATAGTTGCTTCGAGGGATCTCACCTGTAAACAAGGGAAGTAAGACACCGAGAATCAGGCCGAATAAGAGAGAGTTATTCCCCATCTTGTGGTGGGATTCAGAGGATCGAAAGATCAGTGTAATAAATGTCCAAGGATGGTGCGATTTGAAGAACAAAGAAACTGAGAATGCAACAGCTCGATGAGCATTAGCCGGTCTGTCACTTTGTGAAGTGGGCGTTTACTCCAGAAGTCTGATTTGGGGGCTGGAGGACAAAAGACAAGAGCGAGTTTTATTTATTTATTTATTTAGATTTATATTTAGATAAATTTATGTATGCGACTTGCAGTGTTACTTTCTCTCTGCTGATTATCTGCACTATATGACAGTAATCATTACAATAAGAACATATTGATTTAATTACACTTGATGTCTAAGTAAATAGGTCTTGATAACCCAGAGGAAAAATAGCAATGAAAGATCAGGTGTTGTTTTCTTGATTTATAAACGGGTGCATGTACCTGCTTGTAATAATCAGAAGCGATAGTATTAAAAACATTAAGGTCTGTAATTTTTTTGTTGATGTTTAGAAAAAAAATGCCACATGATAGTTATTAAACTTCAATGTTTAACGGGAATAAGAAGATATGTTGAAATCCAAGAAATGCAGTAGACATGTCAGATTATTTTTAAAAATAAGCCAGAGTCACTGTTCTAGAAACCAAGAACATTGTTTAAAAAGAAATATGAGCCTTTTCTGTGTTTAAGCGTCTGGGTTTTGATTCAGAGTGGTTTAAGGAAATAAAAATGTACTGCAGTGTGATATATCTTTTATATAGTTTATCTTACCAACACTGTTTTTGTACCAATAGAAAAGCTGGTGCTCAGAGGAAGAGGGCGGGCTTTACTTGGTGTCAGTGACAGAAATGAAAAAAAGCTCAAATGAGTGAGAAGGACGATGAAGGAAACATCTGTGCTGTGTCTGCTCTGTAAGTAGAATCTCTGTGTTTGTTTGAATTCTTGTACTTTGACTGTCTGCTCTCCTGATAACTGCTGATGGAGGAGAAGACATGAAAAACAAATCAGGCTGAATAGAAATGATTTGCTCTGTAGGACTGAGGGTGTACATGTTGGTCACCCATCTTTACTATGTAAATGGTTCGCTCCTTAAATCTTCTTAACTTGGCAGGTTCAGATCCATATTAGAGATGAACAGGTATGAAATCACTACCTACTGAACAATCAGTTCTCCAGAAAATAGTGTCACCATTCCCAGAAGATCCCTTGGACCTCTGCACAGAGAGTAGGAGTGTGTTTTTAATAGGCTCTAAAGTCTTGGTGTTTCCCTGATCCCTGGCTGTTAACAACAATTTGCATAGTCTTGTTATTCTAAATGCATTAATGTATGATCCTAAAACAGGACACCTACACTGTACTTGCTGACCTCATATCAAACTTGTACGTGGATTATGTTTTTATTTTTAAACTTTACATTCAAACCCCAAACTCTAATTTGGTGATTTAGAAAAGGTATAAATGTTGTTCTCCTTGATTCTAATCTGCTGTTAAGTCTCTTTCACACTGCTGGAAACACCAAACACACACCAAGAATGTCTGTTCAATCAGTCACATTAATCACTTTGATCTGGAGCAAACAACAATGATTTCCACGTCTCCTTCCTCAGGACAGAAAGCTTCAACCATCAGCCATCAACTTAGAACTAAACAGCAGCACAGAGCACACACCAATTGATTAAAACTATTAGCTGCTAGTACACCAATCAGTGTGACCAAGCAGCTGAGTGGCAGATTTACAAAGGAAATCCTGTGCGTCTGTGAATTGTCTTCAAATTTAGCGCCCATTCACAACAAGTGAACCATTAACAAAGTTGTAGAAAATATTTGTAATTCGTTGAAGTTGTTTAAGCTCCTATTTTTATTGATTTCTAAAGTTGGGCATTACTGACTTACCATACATCTCTCTATGGAGAATATGAGACAGCAGTTGCACATGACGATTAGATTCATTTCATTTCAGTTTTATTTATATAGCACCAAATCACAACAGCAGTTGCCTCAAGGCAGTTTATGTTACGGCCCAACAATAGAAGGAGGAAAACGCAAAGACGTTAGATGCTAGAGGGGAAATTTAGAACCCTCCTACTGTCGGCAAACAGAGTTGAGATGAAAATTTCATCTCAACTCTGGGTTATTTGTCAGTTTGACAGGATGAAGGCTGACTGACATTTAAATTTGTTTTTTTAAATGTCTAAAAAAGAAAACGTAATAATCTTATAATAGTCTTAATCTTAACATACAAACATTTTTACTGACTAATAGATAACCAGTAATTATCACATGTGTGCGATGCTACTACTGAGGTAACAAACATTTTCTAATATTAAACCAAAGAAAGGAAAATTCACTTTCACTCAACCATCAGCCAGAACCACAGGTGTGCTGCAACAAGACGGCTCACACCTGAACAGAGTCCTGCTTATAAGCTCCGATGAAGCCAAACTGAATAATGTGACTGAGTTTGTGTTATATTTAAAACAACAGCAGTGATGTCATTAGGACTGTGTCACCTGCACTGACATCCTCTGTATGTGTTTTATCGTGTAGACCTTGGTGGATCTGCAGGGAGAACTGAGGATGTCAGTTATGGACGAATCATCAACAAGTCATCAAGAGAGAGAAGAGAAACAGTCAAAGGTAAGAGGTGCAGATGCTCTTGTTTGTCTCCATCATGGTTCAGAGTGAGAACAGCAGCTACTCAGATTTCAGAGTTACAGACGATGGACAGAACTTATGTTTCCTTTTTCTGTGATGGTAAATGTTGTGGTGTCAGATTGTAGTGTGATGTGAGGCGTTTGATTCTAGCTTGGATTCTTAAAGGGAAGATTTAGGGCCAGATTCACTAACATCTACAGATGTTAATGAATGTAAGAGTTTCACTTTCAGGAGAATATTTAAACTAGTCAGCTCGTCAGGCTAATCCTGTGGCACACAATTTACTGCAAATTACATAAATATTTATCCCGCCTTCAAAAAAATTGTCTTATGCTTGTTGTGTTAGTTGCGGACATCAACCTGTCTCCTTGTCTCCTTATCCCTAAAGGGAGGGAGGGATGTTATCGGATCAAGTAATGAGTACTTTGTCTGAAAAGTACCTAAATAACTGTCTGAAAGCTGCTATTGGTGCAAGTTTTGGCTCAACTCAGTTCTCACACTGAGTATTTAGAGGCAGG